GGGCTCAGTAAATCTTGGCAAATATTACAGTCAAGACTGAAGAAGGACTTTAGACTTCTTACAACCTTAGTTAATCCTGAGTTATCTTTTTCCCCCTAAAGCACACAATGTTTTATTAAAAATAATGTGCTAGTTTCAAACTAATCTAAGACCAATTAACTCCAGCTTCCATTTATAGATTATGCATTATTTTCAAGCAGAGGATAGATCAGGCGGTAAACCCTAACAAGTGGCTCCAATTCCTCTATTAGATCCATTCCCGATCAAAGGCAATCACACACGTCCTACAGCACCTAATTAGATCAGAACAGCAACTCAACTACTACTTTTCATTCATTCATTTAAGACTTCACATGTTTTTTGGAATGATTATTTTACTTTGTAAATTCATTTCAGCTCCTTAAAGCCAAGCTGCCTGTAACTGCTTGAATGAAGTGGTGCCTTAAAACCTGCACTTGGCCAAAACAACGTCAAAGTTATTTCTGCAAAGTACTGAAGCTGCTTCCCAGGATTTCTGCGTGACACTGGGCTAACGGGGCACAGTGATGTTGTTGACTACTCCTTTTCAAATGAAAGCTAGGACTGTGTGCCTGGGTCAGAAGAAACCATGTATTGAAACAGAACTCAAGAATCCATACAGCCCCTAGAAATCACCTAACTCAAACCCCTCAACTTATAAATAAGGCAAAAGATGTCGGAAGGGTTTAAAAAGCTTGCCTACAGACACGTTCTGGGTCAGCTGCAGAGCGCGACATAACCCTAAAGAGGTAACCCTAAATTCCCCTGAATTCCCAGAGTCCAGCGCTCTTTCCTTTATTTCACACCTGCCCTGAGGCACAATGGTGATGGGGATGCAACACTGAGGCCCAAACACAATGAATGAGAAATGCCAACCACTGCATTGTGCTCCATGTCTAAAAATCAAACCCCAGTCTGTTTCTAACAATTAGTTTTACTGGTACCAATACAAGCAAAAACACAATTAAGTAGAATTTTGTTCAGCTCTGGGTGCTAAACTTGAAAAAGCACGCAGAAACACTAGGTTTCATTCATAGGCAAGAAACTTAACCAGGCTGTCTGAGCCGGGACTGCTGAGCTAGAGAAAGCTCTCGGCAACGCAAAGGCTGCAGGGTTATCATGCAGAAGAAGGAAGAGGCTTCCCGTGTCAGAGACCCCGAGGGCCAGAACCAGAGCTAGGACCACAGGATACAAGGTACAGAGTTGGGGTTCATACGGGCAAAGACTTTTTTTGGCAGCACAAGAGGTGGAATGACCGGCTGCTGCAATTTCCTACAGCCATCACAGAATGTGGCCAAGGAAGGGAGGCATTGGGGTTATCACAGAGGGGATGTGGGGTCAAGGACCTTTAGGTCTCTGCTGGCCCTGGGGACTTTGTTTTGTCGCTGTACATCCTCCTTAAATTCCTGCTTAGCTGTGACATATTTGTCTGAACGATGCACAAACCTGTTTTAGTACGCATGTATGTCGGTACACACAATAAGCCCACCATCACCACCACCCAACTTGTTTTTTTTTCCCCCCTCAAACTAGGATGCAAAAAAAAAAAAAATAATGCATGTTTAAGTTTCTTGAATGATACTGCTTTAGGTGTACTTTGTTTTGAGGTGTGTGAGATACACACAGGCATACAACTTGACAATTTCCACAGCTTTTTACTTAAATAAGGATGTGAATGTTCAGATTTAAAACTTGAAAAAAAAAAAACAAAAAAAAAACCCCAACCCCCCCCATCAGTTCAATGTGATTTATTGATTTATTTTGGGTTGTGTGTGAGGTAATAAACACACACTGAAATCAACATCTGCAGCTTTTTCTTCTGACTAGGAACTAGAAATTTCAGGTTATGATTTTTAAAATTAAGTTAAACTCTAACATTTAGTTGCTTCCTTTTTAATTACCTAAGTTTTACGTATTTACAAATTGTCTTTTATTTTCCTCACGTTTTTAATGACCTGTGTATCTTTTAAGTTTTTATTTATAATTTTTCAAACATACAGAAAAGTATGTAAAATGGTATAATGTCACCCCACATAGTCCTCAATAGGCTTAACGATCAGTAATATTTTGCCTTATTTATTTCATTTATGAGGGGTTAAGTATATAAAAAAGTGGCATTTTAACATTTTACTACTAAACATTTCAGTAGGTATCTCTAATAAAATTAACAAAATTAATTATAATTACTATAATTAATAATTTCTTAACATCACCTAAAACCCAATCCATGTTCAAATTTAACAGCTGATTTTCTTTGATTTGCCACATGGTTTTGAAATTTGCAATTCAGAAATGAGGTGTTAACATTTCTATGAGCTAAACATGCACTGAAAAACACTGCTTAAGTTATTTGATAAAGTTTCAAAAAATTGTGTTAGACATGGCTTTCCCCCCAAAATGTTTATAGCACTTTTCCAACTTCCAGAAAAGTCGAAAGAATTATACCCTCTACTTAGTCATGTTAACATCTTGCCATGTTTGATTTTGTGTGTGGGCAGAATAGCTTCTGTTGAATCAATTGTAAGCAAACTGAAGATGTAATACTTTGCCCCAAACGCTTCAGAAAATTCTGACATGCCATGTGTTTTTTTGATGTACACAATTAAAAATACGAATGTGTTTTCTTTTTAAATTCTAACTTAAGCAAACCATTTTTGTTTAATTGCAAATTCTATTTTTTAGATCCTCTGAATTGACTACAAGGATATTTTACATGATCTGACTGCTTACAATCTGAGAAAGATTTCAAATAGACTAAGCATGTAATATTTTAAATGGTAAAATATATAGAAAATATTTTTAATGTTCTTAGATGTGTACATTTAGTCTGATCCAGAAATCTATTTTCAAGAAATTGTCTGAGTTTGTTATACATCTGTACCTTTTGTTGACATATCTATTTTTCCAAATTGTATACTCCAGCTATCCATATTTAATTATCTGCCTTAGCTTATACATATATTTCTTTAGTTGCCTAACTTAGAAAGCCATTTAAAAAATCTGTTTGACTTAAAGATGCACTTTTAAAAAGCTGCCCGGCTTAGACATGAGGTTTTTAAACTGTCTGACTTAATGATTAATAATAATAATAATAAAAGTCTCATGTTACCCAACGGTTCAGGGTGTTTTGAACCTTATACGATTAAAAATTTAAAAGCAAACAACGTTCTTCAATAAATTAAAACCGGTAACTTAGAAACATTAATGCGAGTTTTAGTTCTGTGGGGTTTTTTCCCCCATCAGGAGCATAAAATCAAGCCATGTAAGGAATATGCAATTTCGACATCTTATTTGAAAAAACTAAAGTTCCATTGAGGAGTTTTATTCATTCGGTTTCTACTCTCTAATTCTTGGCTTATTTCAGTACCTTCTTTCCAAAATCAGCACTGGAATTAGCCCCTGTCCATTTACACTTATTTCAGTATAATGCCATTTCTTTAGTTAACAAATGCAGAAAAAAACCTTCAAATTCTTAAGTAAATAAAAATCTGAACACATTCCATCCCTGTTTTCTATGCTTTTAGACCTGACTTTACACGATTTTATTTCTCAAACTATTCACACGGCTTAAAACAGCTTTTCTATAGGAGCAATACGGCCAAAGACATTTTCTACTTGTGATTTACAAAAAGGAAAAACTGTCTTTGTGGACGCTCTTCCAGTAACTACGACACATGGCATGATTTTTCTGAAGCATTCAGTAAAGTCATAAAGGAAAAAAATTAAAAGGCAACATGGTCCCTAAGGGGTGAAATAAGTGTGAGATCCCCAAAGCTGTATATTTCACGTATAATCCCCGAGAGTCTGGTTTTGGGGTGATTTTATTTCCCTCCTCCATCAAGCCTGTCTCCTGCCTGTCTACAGCAAGTAGCCCCCCCACGGCCAACTAGTTTCATAACTTCACTTTTCAATTTAAGGTATTCCAAAGCTAATCATCGCCTTGCATAGACCATCCATACCCGTCCCCTTATCTATCAGAGCAAGAAAGAGCAAGAAACTGAAGCTCAGAAAGGGAAAGCAGACCTCATCAAAAACAAACAAAACCACCTCAGTCATCTTCCCAGGCACTCCCTAGAACAGATTCTACCACTGGGCTAAAGAAAGGTTCACGTTAATTAAATCAAAAAACCTGTGCTATTTTGAAGGTTAATTTTCACATACACACCATGTTTTTTGGGGTTTTTTTTGTTTTTGAAAAGTTCGAATGGAGGGAAAAGCTTAATTTCCTGTGTGGGAAATGGAAAACGAAGGACCTAGCACCTTACAGTCTCACAAACACGAGCCCCCAGGAAAAACAGTGAGGCAATTATTCATAGGGAACGCGGCCACACCGAGGGCGGTGAGGCCATTAAAAGAAAACGGGTGGGGAAAAAAAAAAAACAAAACCAAAAACAAAACACAACACACACACACACACACACACACACACAAAACCCACGGCTTCCTCATTTTGGGGGAGGGTGTCGTTCATTTGCAAGGATTTGGGTTCTGCGAGCCTGCAACCCGGCCATTAGGACCAAAGTGAGGCCCCGTATGGGGGTGGGGGTGGGGGGAGGGGGGCTGAAACAAAACGAAACAAAAAGGCTTCAGAAAGGCCCCAATTTTTCCAAATCTTCGTGTTAAAACATATGTAAATTGGAGGCGGCCAGTCGTGCAGTGACGACCGCGGCGGGGGTGGGGTGGGGGGAGGGTTGCGGAAGTGAGGAGGAGAGGGCAAGGCAGAGGTGGAGCAGGGGCCTAAAACTGTTTTCTCCCCATCCAGGGTTATAGGCGTCCCCGGACTCTAGCCGGGGGACCTTGCATTTCCGATCACTCTTAGTCTTATTACTCTTATCTTCTTTTTTTAAACAGAGAGACAGACAGAGACAGACAGACAGGCAGAGCCGCAGTGCACACGGTGCGTGTGTCGGAGAGGCCGCCGGGAGACTCACCGCAGCAATGCTACGTGAATGCAGAGGGCTGGAGGTGGTGTGACTACTCACTTGCTCGGCTAACAGCTGCCGGTTTTGGATGGAATTATTCCGCAACAACAAGAAAGCGTCGGTTAAACGCCTGGTGGCCATGTCTCACCCTTTGTGACCCCCCTCTCAGGGGCCCCCCGCCCACTTATAGTCCTGGGTTATTCACTTTCTTTCTCTTGGCCTGGCCCAGGCGGCCCACCCTGCACAGAAACCTCTCTGGACAAGGCCTCAAGCCAAACAGGCGCAGCTTTGCACCTCGCCAAAGCGCGGAGACCCCTCCCCAAATAACCACCTAGGCTTTCCAATTGTCTGACTCCCCCTACTCAAGGCCTGCCTTCGATCTCTAAGCACTTAAATCCCCCCAATCCTTGCCTAGCTAGCCAACGTCCTAGAGACCCCACCCCAATCCAACCTTGGATCTACAAGCGTCTAACTCGCCAATCCGGCTCTGGACTGCGAGGCCCTGAAGCCCCCTACCCCCCTTTAGTCTCTGAGACCCCCAAGGGTCTGTGCCCCCTACCCTAACTTGGCTCACACGCGTCTAGGCCGTGCCCTGTGGCCTGCCTCTGACTCAGTTTCCCCACCAGGAGCCTGGCCCAGGTCTCCTTTAGACAACCCGGGACAGGCCTGGGCCCTCAACTCCAGGGGCGCCTGGCCCTCCCTTCCTGGGCCTTGGGGGAGCCTGCTAAAGGCCCGGGCCCGACCTCCTGACCCCTTCCCTTTCTGGGCGGCCTGGTCCTCCACTGCTACAGCGGCCTGCCGGCCTCCAGGAGGGCAGCAGGGCCTGCCTCCCCGGCCTCCTCACTCCTCTTCTCCGGCTCCCTCCATCCCCGGATCTGACTGCAGCTCAGCCCCGGGCCGTTTCCGTGCTGTGGTCCCGGGTTCTGGCGTCCCCCCTGGCCCTCTTCCTGTCCGTCCCTCGCGAGTGCCCCCCTGCGACGTTCGCAAGGCTTGCTCGCAACGTTCCGGGCGCGGGAGCTCCCTGCCCCCCTGCCCCAGGGCGCGGGAGCGCTCCGCCCTCTCCCGGGGTGCTCCCGGGGCGCCCGCTTTCCCCTTCCCAAACTGGGCCCAGGCTCGGGGAAGCGCACGAGGGGGTAGGCCTGAGCCTCAGAAGCGTGGCCCCCCGGCTGCAAACCGCCGCCAGGGGCCTTGGCGCGCACATTAGAGTGGAGTTGAGCGGCAGGCAAATTTGGGCCCCAGCAGAGGCGAAGTTTGAGGCGCGCGCGGAGTTGGGGCGGGAGAGGAAAAGTTGGAGACGACTGCCTCTGGAGGCCGAGCACGCTTCACTGCAGGCGGCGGTTCGCGCCCGCTTTTTTTTTTTTTTTTTCTCTTCAATTCTGAAAAAAGATTGTATCCGAAAAACAACGAGGGGGGGGAAAAAAAAAAAGGCAACAGCCAGAGCTCCGGGCCGCCTGGGCCGCGCCGCCGCTGGCAGTCCGGGGTCGTGGGGGGCGCCCGCCCTCCCCGGCTGCCGCTTTCTGTAGGGGGCACTGCAGGGTTGTGGAATTTCAAGTGGAAAAGTTCCCCGAAACTTGCACAGCCCCCCACTCTGCCCCCGAACAACTTTTTCCTGCCAAGTGGGCCCGGGCGCCGCGTGCTGGGCCTGGCCCCGCGCCCCACGGACACCCCGCACCCCGCTTTCCCGCGGTCAAGCCGGTCGGCGCTGGGGTCCGCGACCCCGACGCGCCGCCCGAGGCCCCGGGGCGGGAGGCTGCGGGCAAGGGCTCCACGGGGCCGCGCGGGGCTCGAGCCTCCGGAGCCGGAGCGCGGCGAGCAGGGTTCAGCCGGGCGACCGAGGCCCGAGCCCCGCCGAGCGTCTGACCCGGGGCCGCCCCACAGGCACCCCGAGGCCGAGGCCGGAGCCGGGCGCGGTCTGGGCCCAAGCTGGCCGGGGTCGCGGAGCCGGGTGGCCGCGCCTCCTCGGGGCCCCGGGGTTGGGGGGGATCTCGGACAGGGCCGAGCGAGCCGGGATCTCGGCCGTGGGGTCCCCGTGGCGGGAGGTCGCCCCGAGACCGGGAGCGGGCCCTCACGCCTGCAGTGTGCTCCTGCGTTGACCAAACTTTGCACACGCGTGTGTCTTCCGAGCGTTCCCGCGTGCCGAGCGCGGCGCGGGCAGCGAGAACCGGCGGCCAGGGCCGGCTTCCCGGGCGGCGGCGCCGAGCCAGCGCGGCCCAGACCGCCCGTCCGCCCGCCCGCCCGCCCGCCGGGGAGACCGCGGGGTCCCGGGCCGGGGCAACCCACACGTTTCCATCCTTTTCTACAGGAGAATGTGCCTATGCGGCGCTCATGAAGCTAAAAATGAACGTTAAAAACACCGTTGGGGAATATAAAAATGCATTCAAGCAGAGGGAACGAGAGCGCCGGAGAGCCGGGCTGGCGCGCTCGCGGCGAGGAAGGGGCTGCCGCTTGCAGAGCCGGGCGGCTGGGGGCGCGGACGAGGGGCTCCCGCTCCGGCGACACCCAGCCTCGCAGCCAGCCCTTCCCGATCCCCCGGCCTCGGCCGGAGGAAGACGGCCGCTCCGGAGGCACCGACCCCGACTCGTCTAGTGCGGGGAAATTCGGGGAGCCGGGGTGTGCACCCCCGGGCTTCGCGCCTCACTCCGGGAAATAGTCGCACGTTTGCCGAACGCGGGAGAGTGCTGTCCCCACATGCCCCCGGTGTTGTGACCCCAGGCCAGGCACACGGCCAAGTCCCCATGCCCTTCTCGGAGAACACGTATTGTGAATAACAACCGAGCCGGTCTGGTCTTTCGGTAGGAACATCAGATTAGAAACGTGGTCCGCACTCTGTTCCTTTCTCGAGCACTCATCACCTTGCAAAGCAGGGACTTGTTTACTTCAACTGGCTCTCTCCCCCAGGCTAGAGCGCGATCGTCCTCCTAGCAGGGACCGTGTTTTATTCATCTTTGTACCCACCGCCTGCTCACCTGGCTTGGAAGAGGCTCCGGATACATGTTTTTTTTAAATATGCCTATGAATGAATGAGAGACCCGCGGTTGAGTCCCCAAACTCTCTGACCTCCTCGAATGACTTTAAGCCTTTAGAGCCCTCATTTGTTAAGAAAACAAAAACAAAAACATAGCGTTTTAATAATGCTTGTAATCCGTGCCCTGTCTGCCTCTCTGGGGCTATCGTGAAGATCAAGTGGGTTAGGTGAAAACCTTTGTAAACCATCAGATGCTGAGCAGATAGTATATAGGATGCTTATTCATTCATTTCCTTTGCTAGGAAAGCTTTTAACAAAGTAATTCCTGGGCTTGTTTTTCAGCAGATGGTGGTGGCCCTTCCTGGTCAGTCTTAAATATTTATTGCGGGGGGACAATCTTGTTCTTACATTTAGGAAATCAATCAGGCTTCCATTTCTTTGAGAGAAACGAACAGTGCTTGCACACATAAATAATGGAACAAAAATCCTCGTATTCCCAAAACAGCCACCCTAAGCAACGCAAGGGCCCAAGAGCAGGGAAATCATGAAGAATCCACGGGATTGGCATAGCAACTCAAAGGCAGTGCCGTGCAGCTCTAAGCCAGCCGCACCCAGGCATGGGATTGTGTGTGTGCAATAGTGTTAAGTGAAAAGCAGAGAGCCTGGGATTGGATAGGTACACTGTCAGAGATGGTGTCCAGGTACGCCCTGGCCCATACGGGGGTGGGGGGTGGGGGTGTAAATCATTATATTTGAATGTTCCTTGGCTGTTTTATTTTCCTGTCAAGTGGCTTAAGCCTGATTTTTTTTTTTTTTTTAAGCATTCCCTCATGGCCAAGTATGTGTTTCCTTGGAATTGAAATCTAGGTTGATGGTTTTATATTTTAAAAGCTTTCATTGTGACTCATTCTTGGCCTGGGATAGGATTCTGTAATACTCCCCAAGCTCAAAGAGCCTGGGTGTCCTGTTTCTTGGGCCTCGTTCGTACCCACTTTCTAACATTTTGCCAGTGGATCCAAGAAGTCACTTTTGGAGACAAGTGTTTCATTGTCTTCCTGTCATCTTAATCAGTGCGGAAGGGAACCATAAACATGGAATTTCCCGGCTGAAGCGAGACGACGGCAGGGACAAGGGAAGATTTTCGAGTGCTGACAAGTTAGTGGTTAGACAATATGGGTCAGCGTTGCTAGACTCACACCCTCTGCTGAAGAAGTTGAGATGAGACGGCCGGTGAAGCCCTTATTTGCGCCCAGCCTATAGTAAGTGCTGCACAAAGGGGCAACGTGGTTTGTTAACAGCAGGGTCTTGTTGACACACAAAGGCTCTGCTCTCCCTGGAAGGGAGAAGCTCCAAAGAGTAGGGCATCATGGCGGGGACTGGGTACTCTCCAAGCACATTTTCAAGATTCCCATTCTGTGGTCTGGGAATCCAGATGTGTCTACAATGGTACTCTCACGTGCAAGAGGGGTTTAAACAGTCTCAAATGGACACCTTTTAACTTTGACCTTTTTAGTGCCTCTTGAAAGACAGATGGTCCTTCTTTTATCAAGATGAGCAGCAAAAACCTGATAAATATCTCATTTGTACAGATCTGACACAACAGGCAGATTCTGGCCAGATTTAGGAAACAGGCGCCTTATGTTCTGTCTCCCCAAATAGTTCCTAGAGACCTTGAGTGTCTCCAGCCTCAGAGAGCTCCCTAGCTCTGTCTTCAGCCACGACACCTCTCCCAAGCAGAATGACTCCAGAATGACTCTGGGCAGAGGGAGCAGACTCCATTATAGCAGGCTGTAATAGGAGACACTTCAGTTCCACGGGCATTTCTACCAACCTAGCAGTGGCTGTATCTAGCTCTTGCTGGGCCCTGCTGAAAGGGATGAAACAGAGCAAAACCCTTGCCTTCAAGGAATTTGCAATCTCCACTGGCTCCGCCCGCACGCTGGTTCTTACCTTCTCTTCCCCTCCATCCACCCTCCATGCTGCGGCCATAGTGACCTTTCCAAAGCGCAAACTTCATCATGTCACCGCCTGATTGAGGCCCTGGAACAGCTCCCTCTGGCCCAACCAGCGACACTCAGCAGAAAACAGGTGCTCTCTAAGCCGGGCCTTCACTAATAGTAACTAATGATGGTCTTTTCATGGTTGGCAGAAAAAAAATTAAGTTAATTGATGAAATAGTCTCCATTTTAAGTGTCTCTCCCCTTACTTTTCTTAAGCCTTTGGTCCCTGCTACCACTTGGCCATATTAGATTATACTATGAGACTATATCTGATTTGTCCCAGAACCATGAATTTCATTAATTTTTCTTTTTTTCACATATCAACATTTCCTGGTGTTCTGCTTGTAGCTGTTCTGCTTTCTCAACACAGTGGAGTGTCCACTGGGATGGAGGCTCGGCATTCAAGGCCCTTGCCAACTGGCCCACCTAAGTGGTGAGCTTTTAAGTGCCTAGATTTCAAGTCTTGCCCACATCCGCTTGGTTAACACTTCCTTCAAGACTTAGTGCCACCTGTCATCTGGTGTAATAAATGTTTGTGGCACATGGATGAATACATGGATTTATAGAAAGATGAGATTAAATATATGAAATGCCTGAGAATACCAGAGGGTCAGTA